CCCTTCACAGTACTGGAAGGCGCTATTGCAGCAGCGATGGTTTTTTTTTTTGTTGTTGTTGTTTTTTTTGTTTTGTTTTGTTTTTTTCTGACTTTGTACATTACATGCTCCAAGGCCGACTTGCCAAGCAACAGGACTTCCCGGTGCAATGGCAGCATGACTGTTACGGGGTAACCAACTGATTTCCGATTGGATTTGAATCCTGGTCCACAGGAGGGGGTTCATACCTAGTACTGAAGACACGGTAAAGGGCCTGTGAGCAGGGTTTGTGGCACTGGGGCCGAATCTATTTTGTTTGGCTAAATGGGTATATTTATAAAACAGCCTCCTCTGTGCATCTATTGACTAGTGCTGCCCTCTGCCATGATCAAAGAAGCTTCTCTTTGTAGCAAACAGTGGTTAATTAAAAAAAAAAAAACATATCACTGATTGGTTAAAGTGCTGAGAACAGTGGCTATTGAGTGTCCAACTTAAATGGTACACCTATATCACCCGCTCTAAGGATGAGGGCGAGAAAGAGTGTAAGAACCAGACAATGGGCAGGCGGGCCATGGAGTGCTATTTTATAATATGGGCTGTGACGCTCGTGAACACCTGGGGGGGGTCTGCATAGGATCTGCCCAAGATGGCCTGTGAACAGCCCCAGATGGGGAGGGACTCAGAGGACCCTGTCCCACCCGGATAAGCTACCCACTGCTGAGTTACTCATGCCCCAGTGCGTTAACTCCACACCCACGCCCATCAGACCATCCCCGGTTAAACTCAGTAGGTCATAGTGCAAAAGTCAGAGGCCAGCCTGTTCTGCATAGTGAGTCCCAGGACAGATGGGGCTACCTAGAAAGACCCCATCTCAAAAAACAGAAATCCTATTCAATAGCAAATCATCATCATCAAAGAGAATTAGATAACTGCAAGATAAGGGCATCCTTATCTCATTCTTGTGATTTGGCCTGGTGTTCAGATGTCCATCAGAGATGTCTTCTCTTCAGTATCTGCCCTGGTTGGGTTTTTATTATCAGCTTGACCACCTAGTACCACCTGAGAGGAGGAACCTCAGTTGAAGAACTGCCTTGGTCAGATCGGCCTGTGGCCATGGCGATGAGACTTGTCAAACCGTTATTATACCCACAGTGGGTGGCCCCATGCCTAGGCAGGTGGGTCTGGGTCGTATAAGAAAGCTGACAGAGGGAGCAAGCCAGAAATGGATCCAGTAATCACTGTGCACCATGCAGAAGGATGAGGCTGCTGAGGCCAGGACGTCTGCAGAGCTTGCGATTTCATTTGCAAAGGGAAATTCTTTAAGGAAAAAAAAATATTTTTACGATTAATATTTTTGTTTGTTTGGTTGGTTTAGTGTTTCGAGAAAGCGTTTCTCTGTGTGTAGTTCTGGCTGTCCTGGAACTCACCCCGTAGACCAGGCTGGCCTCGAACTTAACAGAGATCCACCTGCCTCTGCCTCCCTGAGTGCTGGGAATAAAGGCCTGCGCCACAGCACCCAGCTTTACAATTAATTTTAAATTTCAAAAAGTTTTATTTTATGTTTTTCTTGCTTGCTATACATCATGCGTGTATGTATGTATGCATGCACGTATGTATGTGCACCGTGTGCTTGCCTGGTGCCCTTGGAGGCCAGAAGAGGACATCAGAGCACCTGAAATTGGCGTTGCAGGTGGTTGTGGTTCCTGGAACCAATCCTGGGTCTGTTAGAAAAGCAGCAAGTGCCCTCTCCGGCCCCACTTAATTTTTGAATCTTGCCTAATCTAAAATGGTGCTGTAAATGACATGCTTTGGACGATGTAGTTTACACAGCAAAAAAGCCAGGCCTGTTGGGTCACTCCTGAACACAGAGCACTATGTAGGCAGAGGCGGAAGGATCTCCTGGGTTTTTGAGGCCAGCCTCTTCTGCACAGGGAGTCCCTGACCAGCGAGGGTAGGCAATCAGAGCTTATCTTGGAGGAAAAGGGGAAATAAATATGTAAATAGTAAGTACACACCTAAATACACAACTAAGGAGAGAGGGATGTCCACAGAATCGTATGGCTAAGGGCAGCTCGCTCTCTCCAGAGCGTCCATCTGAAGCGTGCACCTTCATCTCTCCTTAACCGTGATAACCTTCCTTCACTCCGACTCTCCTGAAATTCTTCTCTGTCCTATCGTCAGGAGAACAGCAATGTCGGACTCCACCTCCCTGCTTTATTTCCTGCCTCGCCATGAGATTTCTCCTTTCCCTCCCCTGCAAGGGAGCCCGCACAGCTGGAAAGCTGCCTGCTCCTTTCCACTTTGTTGCCCTTCTGCTTCTCCACACTTTTTTTTTTTTTAAGATCTATTTTTATTTACTTATATGTGTGTGCACGCTGGCACTCAAGGAGGCCGGAAGGCATCAGATCCCCTGTAGCTGGAGTTGCGAGCTGACTTGGGTGCCGGGAACCGAGCTCAGATCCTCTGGAAGAAAACTCTTGACAGCTGCCGTCTCTCTGGGCCTATGTGATTTCTGAGATACTATTTCTGGCTTTAGGATAGGGCAGCGGGTCTCAACCTGTGGGTCATGCCCCCTTTATGGAGGTCAAACGACCCCTTTCAGAGGGTCAAGACCATGGGAAAACAAATTTACATTACGATTCGTAACAGCAACAAAATTACGGTTACGAAGTAGAAACAGAAATAATCTAATGGTTGGGGGTCACCACAACATGAGGAACTGTATTAAAGGGTCATAAAGCTTTAGGAAGATTTGAGAGCCACCGGGGTAGGCGCTCTCATTGGCATCCTGGCAGTTTGGCTTTTTCCTGTGTCAGAATGCCAGGAATCACCACTAGATGGCACACAGGACCTTCAAGCTTGCTTGTGAAAGTGCTCCTTCCAATATTCAGTCTTGACATGCTTATCAGGGACTGACAAGGAGCTGGGGAACTTTGCACAGGACTCGAGAAGCATTTTGTGCAGAAAGGGAACTTTTTTCTGAAATTCAGTGTCAACTGGGACTTTAAAAATGTATTGATTATTGATTGATTGATGGGGAGGGGACAAATGAGGGTTGCAGGGGGAATATGGAGATCAAGGAACAGTTCATAGGACTCAGTTCTCTCCTACCTTGTAGGTTCCAGAGACCTAGCTCAGGTCCCAAGGCTTGGAGGTAAGGCACTCTTACCATGTGAGAACTCTTGACTAACCCAATTAGAACTTTTTTTTATGTTAAATTAGTCTAGAATGAAGACTCTGGACAGGAAAGGACATTAAGACCCCAAATTGAACATCCCAGGGGCCGTAGGGCCGGCATGCTTCAAGGCTGGGTTCCATATGAATAACCCACTGCCATGGCAGACGATGGCTTTCTCTTCAGAGGCTACAGGAACGTGCTGAATGTAGTCACACCTTTTGGAGGTAAATATCCACCTTCTCCTCTGATAACCTGGGAAGTTCTGAACACCAAGCTGGGTCTGCGTGCCGTTTGCATTTGCGAACGTTCCCTCCTCCCTCCAGTCCTGCCTGTCACAGAGATGTGACAGGCACTCTGAATTGACTGTTTTATTTAATCTTGGCTAAGAGTTCTTACCTCTGTGATCTGCTCAGAGTGGACTTCTCTTTCTCTTTTTCTCTTCCCTCATCCATTTCATAAATACTTATGTAACTTATTAAATATCTTGTTTTGGACATTGAGCTTCAGGGGATGGGCTAGGGATCGCCTGTCTTGCTTTTCTGTAGACTCTTGGCCCCTAAAATAGTCTCGGATGTTCGCTCATGAATGACAATTGTGTTTCCTTCACGCATACTCTGCTGGCACAGAAGGGCCAGCTGGCACAGAAGGGCCAGTGAGGAGTGGTGCTTTGCCCTCGTCTGTCTCTGCTCTTACGTTCCGTAAGAACTTACAGTCCAGCCAGGAAGCATGAATAACAACACACCGCCGTGCAAGGGGTGAGGGGTGCAAGGAAGCACCGTCCTTTTGCTTCACGGAGATTCCCGAGCAGGGTTCGAAAGAAGGGAGGGGAGAAAGGGGCCCTGGAGGGTCTGGGAGATGGGAGGCAAGTTAAAAGCCCTAGTGTACAAGCATGCTTGGTGTCCATGGGAGGTTAGCCAGAGGGCACTAGCAGCAAGTGGTCCCAGGAGAGGTAGTGGGATGAGGCTGGACAGTAACAGCCAGCCTGTGTAGAGCCTAGGGGCCACTCTGAGGAGCTCAGCCTTTGACTTGGGGTGCCATGAAGAGCTAGGGGGTTTTAACAAAGCGACAGCTCTTTTACTAGGAAACAAAACAAAACGGCTCAGGCTGCTAGAACTTGAGGGGACTCCGGAGTTGCTGGGAGGCCAGCAGGGAACTGTTGAAGGGGAAGGGTGCTGCATCCAAAAGTGGGCATGCAGGGCGAGTCGACTCTTCATACGAGACGAGGTCTGAAGGCGGAGCAGACACAGCCGTTCTGCTGGCACAGCGGGTAACTGGTAAATACTTCTGAATATTAATGGTATACTTCCCCACGGCCACCCCAGGACCAGCTTTCACTTGGCCCTGAGACCCCTCCTGCTGCCCCATTGTGTCCTTGCCCAGTTAACTCTCTGCCTTGTCTTTCCGGAGCATCCCAACCTGCTGTGCTCGGCCATGTGCCTTCCCAAGCCTTGGTCTTCCGCGTGGCACACTTCCATCATTAGACAGCCACTGCTAAGCACTGGGCCCCGCAATGTAACTCGGCTGTGTCACTGACGTGTACACCAAAAGTGCTCACTAAATACTGCCGAGAGAAGTGACCAGGAGCTTTTCTGGTTTTGGTCCAGGCTGGCTGAGTCTAAGCTGAAGCTGAATTCCAAGGACAATTCTCTCTGCCTCTTCTCTCAGAAGGTTCAGGAAGCACCCCCCCCCCCCCGCCAGCCCTGGCGTGGGTCCACTTGAGGCCTAATAGGTCACAAGAGACCTGGACACAGAGGATGCTACCTCAAAGCATGCCGTGCAAGGAAGACCCACGTGCCAGGCAAACCCCACCTAACCCCTGCAGCTGAGACAAACATTTTTTTTTTCCTAAATTTTTATTTTATAGCAATTGTCATAGTTAGAGAAGTAAATAACACATTTAAAAACCTCCTCAGGGCCAAAGGATGCCAGAGTATTTACAAACACATGGGGTAGGGGAGGCAAGACAGAAGTGTGAGTCTCTACGGTTTGAGAACAACCCAGGCCCTGTCCCAGATTTGGACACTGATGCCAGTCACCAGGACCGCCCTGTGGGCTCAGGGCGTGTCACAAGCCGTAGTAGCCTCGCTGCTCACAGGACCTAGTGGGGGACCTCTAGCTAACCCGAGGCGCCACTTCCCATCCAGGGAGCTCCCCTACACCCACAAGCCAGCTCAAAGGGGCCCCTGGGAAGCACCAAAGGACAGGGGCAGTGTGAGGGACACACAGACTGGGACAGGTGTCAGTAGATGATCTGGCCTGCCCTGGGGGGAGACGGAGATATGCACGTGTGTGTGCGTACATGAACAAACTGTACCTTCACAGAAAAATTGCAAAGGGGGAGGTTTCTTCTGTGATTTTTTTTTTTTTTGTCTAAGTCTCCATGTCTACGATGTTATTAATTTTTTTTGCTATTATTATCTTTTGTTTTTTGTTTCTTCAACAGTGACAAACTGAGGTAAACATCTGTAACCAACACCTCTCCTAAGGGGCAAAGGATCCCAGCCCGACGGACAGAGACAGTACCAGTGAGCAAGAGCGGAGCTGACCCAGTGTGAGTCCTGTTCAGGGTCAGGCTGGCTGCCGCCTCTACGCAGTGGGGCTGGGCTACAGACCTACAGTCTTCTGAGGACTACCATCCTAGGTACTACAAGGGCGAGGCCTCCCACACAGGATCTCAACAGAGAGGGCGCACATGGGACGCGGGATGCCGGCTGTGGAATCTCGCTTCCTTGTTATTGCAGGTCAGGGCGGAGAGGCCTAAGGCAAGAGGAGAAGTCTCAGCTGGGAAGGAGGGCCTAATGGGCCCAGGCGGGCCAGGGCAGTGATGGGGGCCTTCTGAGATTCAGCTCTTGGCAGGAGGAGGGGTTTGCTACTTACCTGGCATGTGTGGGCCCTGTGTCCACTAGGGAAGTGGTGGCACCCCAGGAGCATGGGACCAGGCCCTGGAGCAACCACAGTTTGTAAACCGGACTCGGACAGGGCAGGGGACCTATAGCCCTTTGTGGTGGGAGTGAAGGTGGTCGTGTAGAGAGGTGGGGGTGAGGAATTCCAGGCTGAGAGGTGGTTGGTGCCCCTTGAAGCCAGCCAGCCAGCGCCAAGATGGAACCTCCTTGAATGACCCAGAACTTCTGGAGGGACCCTGGGAGAGGCAATGCAGGCCGGCCAGTTGGATAGTACCAGGCAGAAGGCGCAGCCTCCCTGTGTTGAGGTTATTGTGGGGCCTCCTCAAGCCTCCACATTGGGTAGGGGTCCCAAAGGAGAGCTGGGGCAGGGTGAATTCCTGTCTCGCTGCCTAAGAACATGAGCCAACAGCAGGTGTCTCCTGGGATTCCCTGAGGAGTGTGGTGAAACACAGGCCTGGCTCTTGGCAGCTGCCTGGTGAGGCGTCTGGACACTCAAGTCACCTGACACACTTCGCACTTGCTCCTCTCACATTAGTGACCTGTCCCATCCATGGATATGCTCCTCTCTTGCAAGGGTACTGGCCTAGGACCGAGGCTTACACACATGACTCCAACAGAAACCCAGGAAAAAGCGGCAAAACCGTTTCCCTGCTTGTGAAGGAGCAGCTGGGCCGTGCTCGGACTCCCTTGCCCTAGGGACACAGGAGTTCGGGGCCTCCTGTTCCCCTGCCATCTGCTGCCCTACTCCCAGGAGGGCGCCTACTGGACTGTCCCCAACAGGCTCGTGGCTGCGCTATAGCTCTCCCTCCTGGGTTCAAAGTCCCCATCAGCAGGAGGTGGCGGGGCTGTCATTAGCTATCTGGGTCTATTCCTGCATGAAACTTCTGCTACGTTTAGGGGGCTTGGCCTCTCCCTCTTACCTCCTGGACATCACTGTTAGCCACCCAAGGCCTGTTCTAAGGGTCTCAGGCCCGCATCTGCCCAACACCAAAGCCCCCTTTCTGTGCCAGGTTCGGATGGAGATTGTAGGGTGATCTGCGAAGGGGTGTGAAGCGCCGGGAGCGTCCAGGTTCCAGAGCTCCGAGTCTAGCCCACCGGCTCCCAGCCTCTGTCTGGGGCCTCATCTCCTCTGGGCTGAGGCCGGCCATATGCTACCTAAGTCACCGGCCCGTCACCGACACGGGTGTCTGGGCCTCCTAGTCTAAGCTACTCCCTCCCGCCACCGCCACCTTGTGCTCCTCGTCCCCAGGAGGGGCTGGAGTGGGCGCGGCTTCCCCCGCAGCGGCTGCGCCGCTCCCGGCGGCTCACACGCAGATCTCGATGGCCGTGGCCAGCACCACTTGCCCTTTGCTCTTGTCCGCGCGGCCGTCGGTCCTGCCCGGGGGCGTGGGGGAAGCCAGGCCGGCCTCGGGCACTGGCACCGGCACGGGCACGGGCACCGCGGGCCCTGCACTGGGCGGCGAGGGTCGCGGGCCGCTGCCGCTGTCGGTGAGCACAGTGCGCTTGAGCGGTGCGGGGGCTTCGAGGCGCAGGGGCCCGGGCAGGCGGTCCCCGGGCGGCTTGCGCGCACGGTGCGACGGCCGCCTGCGCAGCTCGGAGGTGAGCTCGTGCTTGAGGAAGCGGAAGACCTCCTTGGCGGGCCCGCGCCGCTCGGGCTCCAGGGCCAGCAGCCGCTGGAACATGCGCAGCGCGGGCTCGGTGAAGCGGCGCCACTGCGACGGCAGCCCGGGCAGGCGGCCCCGCTGCCAGCGCACGAACTCCTCGAAGAAGGCGTCGGCGCCCGACGCGGCCTCCCACGGGAAGTTGCCCGTGAGCACGCAGAAGATGAGCACGCCGAACGCCCACACGTCCACGCCCGTGTCCACCGCGAAGCCGTCGGCGCGGCCCGCCTGGCACACCTCCGGGGCGGTGTAGGGGATGGTGCCGCTCACGCGCTTCACCCGGCAGCCCACGCGCCGCGTCATGCCGAAGTCCGCCAGCTTGACCCGGCGGCACTCGCGGTCGAACAGCAGCACGTTCTCGGGCTTGATGTCCCGGTGCACCAGCTGCCGGCTGTGCATGAAGTCCAGCGCCAGCCCCAGCTGCTGCACGCAGCGCTTCACCGTGTCCTCCGGGAGCCCGACCTGCGGGGAGAGGGCAGAGCTGGGCGCGCCCGCCTTCCCGGAGGCCGCCACTCTCCTGCCGTCCTGTCCTCTGAACCTGCCTTGATCCTAGCGCCTGCTGCTTCTCCTCCCAGCCTGGCGAGATAACCCGCCTGCTCCTTTGCTAGGTGGCTTTTGACCCTGACCCTGACCCTTACCCAAGTGGAAAGACCCCAGCCAAGGACCAGAATCCTCCTGGGTCACCTCCTCTGCCTTGTTTATTATCTGTAGTAATGAGACCACCAGGCTTGTGTGTATGCTAGACAAATACTCTACCGCTAAACCACACCCCCAGTTTTTGTTTCTGTTTTTGAAGGGTCCCACTACCCAGTTCAAGCTGGGTGTAGTGATCTTCTGTCTCACCTCCCCACTGCTGCGGCTACAGGTAGGCACCACCACACCCAGCTCACTGACTGATCAAACGGTCCACCTCCTTCCAGGATGCCCTACTCCAGCACGCCCAAAGCCCATCTCCCCTCTTTGCTACCATGTGAGGTACCTGAGGAGGGATGATGTCAAACAGGTCCCCAGCAGGAGCGTACTCCTGGGCAAAGACATAGCATTCCTCAGTCTCGAAGACCACGTCGAAGATCTTGATGATGAAGGGGCTGGATGACAGGCTGTTGGTGATGCTTACCTCCCGAAGGAAGTTCTTCAGCTTTGTCTTACTCTTGTTCACAAATTTCAGGGCCATTTTGGTGCCTGGCAGGGCCACAGAAACGACGACAGTGAGACCCTCTCCCTCACAGATACAACCCCCCACATCCGGCTGTGCAACCTGGCCCTGAGATAAGGCATAAGGCGGGCGGCCGGTCAGTAGGATGCTCTCACGGCACAGATGGAAAACTGACCCAGGAAAGGAGACTTGTCTAAATCCACCCAGCAGAGGGGGGGCTGACCTGGGTCTTCTGCCTTGCAGCCCTGGATGAGAAAAATAGTCAGCAAAGCTTACTGCCTCCTGGCCTGAGCTATTTTCCTGACATACTGTCTACTGTCATCTGTCACATCTGTCTCCCCAGCTAGAACATGGCTCCCTGACACAGGAACCTGCCTTCTACCAGTATCTCCAGAATTCACCGCCCAACAGGGGCTCAGCAAATGCCTGCCAACGGGTGACTAAGAGACGCCCTTGTAGGACGCTGCTCCCCCAAACTGGGCAGGCATGTGTGCTCTACCGGGCACAGCTATGCAATAGCAACAGAAGGCAACACATGATGGGCCCTACTTCAGCACGTCACAGTCACACCCCAGGCTAGCCAGTGACCCACTAAGGTCAGCATTGCCTCCCTTCCTTCCTAAACAGAGGAAATGGGCTGCAGGACCCGGGGTCACACAGAAAGCAAGAAGGCGACCCCGTGTAAGTGTTCTTCCTGCTGCCTTAGCTATCCCAGGGGCTCCTCCATCCCTGGCAAGTACAGGGTGTCATCCTAGTTCAAACCCGCTGTGGCTGTTACCTTCGCTGCCGGGCTGAACGCCAGGGTTTGTGTCCTTCCTGGAGAAATGCGTGCAAGCCAACCCTAGCGGGCCATCTCCCTACACCCTCTGAGGTGTCCTGTGTCCAAGGACCTGTCCTCACCTCTGTCCAGCTCTTCAGCATCAGGAGTCACCAATGTTCTCCAAGCACTGCTTCCAGCAGTGCCCTGTCCCAAGGGCTCATCTGCCTCAAAGGCACCCAGGTGGCCCCAAAGTAGCCTACCCTCAGTTTGCGTACTTTGCCAACTCACCCTGCTCTGGCCCCTTGCTGACCCCTCTGTCCAGGCATGTCCCCACCCCAACCTTAATACCCTGCCACCCTACCAACACTCACCTGTGCCCTTGTAAGCCACCAGGTCAACCTTCCCATAGGTCCCTTTGCCCAGCTCCCGGACAAGCTCATAGTGCTTGGTCACATCGCTGGCGGCCAGTGTGCGCAGGGTCAGTGCTTGCATGTCCTCTGTGAGGAGGGGCACGCCGGCCCCCGGCCCACAGCAAGGCAGGGAGTGGGGCGCTTCGGGCTCGGGACAGCCCACGCTCATCTTCTCCCTGTTGTGGGGTGGGGCATGAGTGACAAGCCAGCCCCCTGCTCCGTCCATCTACCTCCTACCTCCCCAGCACCTAGGAATCCCCGGCTGGGCCACAGGGGATGCTAGGCGGCATTCATCTCGTCACCATCCCCGAAGTTTCAGGAGACAGTCACTGTCCCTCGTTAGCACTGTGTATCACAGAGCCATTTGTCTCACACTCTAACCCACACAGTGCCCAGCAAACACACAGGTTTATGTCACAAAGCAGCAGCCACACATATGCTCCCATTCACAAGTTCTGGGTTTCTGCTGTGGGTGGTGCCGGGGAAGGGGGGAGGGTCAAGCCTAGAGTTTTGCACATGCTAAGCATGCGCTCTGCCACCGAGCTACGGCCCTAGCCTTATTCACGAATAATGATGAAGCAGCTGCTGTTTGCCAGGTGTACATCAGAGCCCTGGGGGACCCAGCACCGTACAAATGCATGACAACCCTGGCCCTTGAGGTTTGTGCATCAGAAAGACGGACCGTAAACACAGTGAACAAACAAATGGCATTTTACAGCCAGAGGCAGAGCGGGCTCAAGAGCATGGGCCGGTTATCTGGCTCTGAGGCCTGTCCCAGGGAAGTCCTGCCCATTCCCCACAGTCCATGCCCACAGCTGGGATGGTCTTCATGGCTATGGCCCCCATGCTCCTATAAGGTTTCCACAGAGACCATCATCCTCTGCTACTCAGGGATGGTTAGGAGAGTGGAGCACCACCTCGGGTGAAGCCCAAGGCCAGAGACTGTGACAGTGAAACCAATGCCCAACTTGGACCCCTCATTTCTGTTTTCCATCTCATACTTTGCTTCATTTTTTCTGTGGTTTCACTGGGGTTTGCTTGGTCTATGATAAAGTACATATTTAAAACACGATTTGATGAGTTTAACGCATGAATATTCACGAATCCGTCATTGCAATCAACATAATGAGCCTATCTGTCACCCCAAGAATTTTTGTCCCACTCTGAGCCTGCTATATCTCCATCCTTATCTTTTAGGCGGCCATCCAGAACGTTCTCTCCTTTGCTGTGTGTGTGCTGGGAGGAGAGCCTCTCCCAGGTGCACTGGGCAGGTGTGTGCCTGCGCACAAGTCTCATCAGCTGGAGGTCAGCGCTCAGGCCTCCCATCAGCCGCCTCCCATCCCAAAGACCCTGCCTACATCACAGTTACCCCAAGTCCTCTGCTCCCTGAAGGACACGAGCTCCATCTGACATGAAGCATGACTTCCCAGCCACTCGGGCTGGGTTTGCCCATAAGCCCATGCTTATTTGTGCACTCACTCCTTTTGGACAAGAACTGCAGTCCCCAGCTGAAATCTGGGGGTGCTAGGGGCTCCCACCTCCATAAGCCCTGGCCAGCACTCCTTCCAGGTCAGGCCCTTTCCCTTGCCCTTCCCTTCCTCTTAGGCAGCACGACCCAGCCTCCCACTTCACACAGAGAGGAGGAACATCAGGAGGGAACTTCCTGGCCTCCCACCAGCCATAGGCGGAGTTCCATCTGTGCCATCTTCAGCAATGGCTGGGATGCAAGGGGCCCCTCCCTGCGCTGGCTCCCATCTCTTCTACTTCCCCAGGCTCCTGCTCCCTCCATTCACGAGCCAGCTCTGTTCATTGACCCTCTTCTCAGAACTGTCCCACCCCCCCCAGCTTCAGCCTTTTCTGAGTCCTATTTTGACTCCAGATGCCACAGCACCACCCTGGGAGTCTAATCTAGCATGGCGATGCTTTCACGAACCCCCCAGAGGACGAGGAAGAACCAGCCCTGCCTCCCCTTACTGGGCTCTGTTGCCAGTGTTCATACGATCCCTCCCAGTCCCAGGCTAGGGTTCTGCCGCAGCCACGATCGGGCGATACTGGAGAACGGGGGGGGGGGGGGGGGGGGGGGGGAGGAGAGATTCTCTCAGCTTCAGGGATTCTGGGACCACAAGCTCTATCAAATGCCCATCAACTCCCTGGGAAATAAGACAAGCTGGTAACCCATGGCTGGCTTAATCTCAAAAGCAGATGCCAATTTTGAGGGTGCCCTCAGGCCACTGCCCCGAACTGTTTAAGGACAGTGTGGGGTTTTCCCTGAGGGTCTCTGAGGAGCACACAGCCCTCTTAATGTGGAGCCTTTCCCAGCCACCAGGGAGAGGCTGGGCTGGTGTCCTGACCATGTGATATGTGTACATTCCTGGAGACAGAGGCGGACAGCACAGGCATGTCACCTCTCCCGCTGAGAGCACGAGCCCTGCTTGGTCACCTCACATGGTTTCCATGTCCTCTCGGGCTTTGACTGGCAGCTGAAAGAGGCTTTATTCCTTCCATACATAAGTCCAAGGGCGCCTGCCCATTGGGGCTCAAAAGTGCCTCCGGGCACTCAGGCTAACACTCTGACCCACACTGCCTCTGCAAACTTTAGTAGCTGCTAGACAGGCCAGTGTTCCTAAGGGACCTCAACTCTCTACTTCTTGTTCCCCTGCCCGATCTCCCAAGCGCCACTGTCCCTGGGTCCCTCTCCCCAATAGGTGCAGGTCACTGACACTGGAAGAGCTTACATCTGTGCGTCCCCTGCTGAACATGTTAAAGAAGATGTCTCAGCTGTGCCTACCTGTCAACAAGCCAAGAGCTCCTAAAGGCACAGGCCAGGGCAGATTCCATCCTCTCCTGCACTGATCCCTAAATCTTCCGGGTAAGTTTTAGGGCTGCCCACCCTTCCTTCCTGCAGCCATGTTCTCCAGTAAGTGTCAGCAGGAGGCAGTGACTGAATCCACATGCCTGTCCTTGCTGCCGCTCTGTCATGCCTCAGGTACATACCGCCTCTGACCCAGTTACCAAACATGACTTAGACATCGGCACAGCGGGGTGCTACAGAGATGGCATGAGCCTTGATCCTACTGTGAGCCCTTTCAGCTGGGCGACGTATAGCCAGTCCTGGGCCTCAGTTTACACAGCCACACATTAAAGAAAACAAAAACACTAATTAAACCGTACCTACTGCAGCCAACCTGTCACAGGGACACAGCTCATCTTCTTAACTCTACAATGAAATGCTGTTATTAGGCGGTTAAATGAAGCACAGAGAGCGAGTGGCTTGCCCACAGAAACACAGCGAGCGCTGGAGGTGGATCTGCACTTCACCCTTTAAGTCAGTTCTTTCCCAAGGCAAGTGCCGGGGACAACACACCAGCTTCTGAAGTAGCTGGGGAAGGCTCAGCCAAGGATACTCCTGTCATCCTCACAACTCTCGGTGGCTGTGTGGTGGCACCACCCATTTGCCCCCCTCCCGCCCCAGTCGTGGATCCGTGGCTCCTGGTGTACACGACAGCTTGAGACTGAGTTTAGCACGGTGTGTCTAGCTCCTGAGGGGCCGGAAGCACCGCCCTCCAGGCACCGAACACACCCTTTTGAATGCACTCAGCTATAGGCTGTGCCTGTGAACTCTCAGCACCAGGAAACGGAGGTCTCCGCTGACCTCTGTTTCCTCCCGGCTGGTGCTCGGCAGGGCATCCACCCACACTCTGGGTGACTGCTGCCTCAAGAGACCCTTTGGGCGGAGCACTTCCAGGGCGTGTCCCCACTGCTCTAGGGCCATGTGTGTAGTGGTCCAGAGCTTCCCCCCACCCGCACCAGGGTGCTGGGCTGTTGTCTTGACTGTCTGATAGGTGTAGACTCCAGGAGATGGACGTCCTGGTGTGCAGGCATCGCAGCCCTGGCTCTGCCACATGCCGGAGGGGCACCATAGTGGGGGAGGGTTTCCCAAGCAAGAAGCAAGACTGAACCGCCTACCACTTCCTGTTGGCAGGCAGCCTGGGTTGGGTGCCTCCCTGCCACAGCGCCCGGCTCACAGTGCTTTGGAACTCTCACTTCTCACCATCAGCAAAGACAAATGCACACAAGCCATAAGCATATACGCACAGACGACATACAAGTATGCACACACATACAGTGGCACCAGCTTGGCAACATTTTCCTTGCGAAGTCCTCACAAGAACGCTGACGAGAGCGCAAGGGGCTGCCTGTGCTTTACAGAAGCAGCTTACCTGTGCTGTGACCTAGACACCTGTAAACACGCTAATGATTCTGGTAAAGGTACAGGACGGGGCAGCCACTGTCACTACTGAGTGATGTTTTCTGTCCTACAGATAATCACAGAGGCTCAAGAGTGTGATGACTTGTCTGTGGCTATGGCAGCCGGCCACAGACTGCTAGCAAACAGTCTCCTCTTCTACAGTACAAAGTCACACTCGTCGGCTTCCTTTATGTGGCCATGCGGCTGGCTTCCCCCACCGGGATGAGAACACAAGTGACATGCCGGCTCAGAACTTCTCCCGGTTGCAGAAGCCTCTGGACGCTGGCTTGAGCGAAGGACTCCCAAGCCCTCAAAGGTGGCGGAGCCACAATGGAGATGCAGCTGAGGTCCCCCAGGAAGGGGTGATGGTTACCCACCCTGCACTGTTTTGTGTGTGTCTGCCGTGTTCCACCCCTGAGGCACGGCTTGTCACAACAGCTACTGCTATTCTCATTAAGAGCTGTGCAGCCAGTACTGTTTTGCACCTGCCTGGAACACAGCCAGACTCCCCAGAATGATGACAGAGACCAAGGACAAAAAAATGCAATCACAGGAGTGTGTGAAGAGAAGAGGGCCTGCCCCATCCTGTCTGGTGGGAGAGTGGTGGCACAGTGTTTATTTACTCCACACTGGGTGCTCTATGCCCTGTGGGCTAGATTTCAGTCAAGCAGCCATAACAGCAAGCGATGTGACGGCTCTACCCGCACTTTATAGAAAAAGCCCCTCCAAGCCACAGTGGAACCTCACTGCTTTTCTGCGTGCCCTGCATAGCCTACCCTGGCCTTACATTCTTGTTCCTCCTGCCTTAGCTTTCTGGGTGTTGGAATTAGAGGCCCTTGCCAGCACACTCAGTTCGAACTGCCATTTTAACAGTATTGAGAAGCAAGACCTGGCCAGACATCAGGGCGCACACTCTAATCCCAGCGC